TTCTCAACAAAATTCTAACCAAAAGAATTCAACATCCTATCAAACAAATAATACACCACGACCAAGTGGGATTCATACCAGGTATGCTAGGATGGTTCAAATTAGAAAATCAATCAACATAATCCACCACACAAATAGAACAAAAGAAAAGAATCAGACGATCATCTCAGTTGACGCAGAGAAGGCATTTGATAAAGTCCAACCCCCATTCCTGATAAAAGGTCAATAAAATAGGAATAGAAAGGAAATTTATGAAAATAATAAAGGGTATCTATATAAAACCAACAGAAAACATCATTTTCAATAGAGAGAGGCTGAAAGCATTCCTCTTGAGAATGGGAACAAGACAAGGATGCCCTTTATCCTCACTCATATTTAACATTGTGCTGGAAATCCTAGCTAGAGCAATAAGGAAAAACAAGAAATAAAGGGCATCGAAACAGGTAAGGAAGAAGTAAATTTGTTCCTATTCTCAGAAGATATGATACTATACATACAGTACCCCAAAGATTCCCCAAGAAAACTACTGGAACTAATAGGAAGATTCAGCAGAGCAGCAGGATACAGGATCAACGTACAAAAATCAGTTGGATTCCTATACACCAACAAAGAGAACTTCAAAAAGGAAATCAGGAAAACAATACCGTTTATAAACAAAAACAAAAACCAAACCTGCTGTCATTGAGTCAACTCTGACTTATAGCAACCCGATGGGACAGAGCAAAACTACCCCACAGGGTTTCCAAGGAGTGGCTGGTGGATTTGAACTGCTCACCTTTTTGTTAGCAGCCTGAGCTCTTAACCACTGTGCCACCAAGGCTCCACAACCATTTATAACAGCCCCTGAAAAGATAAAATACTTAGGAATAAATCTAACCAGGACGTAAAAGACCTATACAAAGAAAACTACAAAACACTATTGCAAGAAACCGAAAGAGACCTACATAAATGGAAAAATGTATCATGCTCATGGACGGAAAGACTTAACTTTTTGAAAATGCCAATTCTACCCAAAGAAATCTACAGATATAATACAATCCTGATCCAAATACCAACAGCATTCTTTAACGAGATGGAAACACTAATCACCAACTTTATATGGAAAGAAAGACGCCCCAGATAAGCAAAGTATTATTGGAGAAAAAGAACAAAGTAGGAGGCCTCACACTACCTGATCTCAGAACCTTCTATACAGCCACGGTAGTCAAAACAGCCTGGTACTGGTACAACAACAGACAACATAGACTAATGGAACAGAATCAAGAAAAGAGATGTAAATTCATCCACCTATGGTCAGCTGATCTTTGACAAAAGCCCAAAGTCCATTAAATGGGGAAAAGAAGGTCTTTTTAACAAAAGGTGCTGGCAAACTGGATGTCCATCTGCAAAAAAATGAAACAGAACACGTACCTTACATCAGACACAAAAACTAACTGAAAATGGATCAAAACCTAAATATAAAACCTAAAACAATAAAGATCATGGAAAAAAAAATAAGGGCAATGCTAAGGGCCCTACTACACAGCACAAATAGAATACAAACCATAACTAACAATGCACAAACATCAGAAGATAAACTAGATAACTGGGAGCTCCTAAAAATTAAACACTTATGCTCATCAAAAGACTTCACTGAAAGAGTAAAAAGAGAACCTATAGACTGGGGAAAAAAGTTTGGCTACGACATATCCAATCAGGGTCTAATCTCTAAAATCTCTAGAATACCTCAACACCTCAATAACAAAAAGACAAATAAGCCAGTTAAAAAATGGGCAAAGGATATGAACAGACACTTCACCAAAGAAGATATTCAGGCGGGTAACAGACACATGAGGAAATCCTTGTGATCATTAGCCATTAGAGAAATGCAAATTAAAACTACAATAAGACACCGTCTCACCCCAACATTACTGACAAGAATCAAAAAAACAGAAAATATACTAGGGAGGCCAGCAAAAAAAAAAAAAAAATTCAGAAAATAACAAATATCGGAGAGGTTGCAGGGAGATTGGAACTCTTATGCACTGCTAGTGGGAATGCAAAATGGTACAACCAGTACGGAAAACAATATGGTGCCTTCTTAAAAAGCTAGAAATAGAAATACCATACAATTCAGCCATCCCACTCCTAGGAATATATCCTAGAGAAATAAAAGCCATCACACGAATAGACATATGCACACCCATGTTCATTGTAGCATTATTCACAATAGCAAAAAGAAACAACCTAAGTGCCTATCAACAGATGAATGAACAAATTATGATACATATACACAACGGAATACTACACAACAATAAAGAACAATGGTGCATCTGTGAAACATCTCACAACATGGATGAATCTGGAGGGCATTATGCTAAATGAAATAAGTCAATCACAAAAGGACAAATATTGTATGAAACTACTACTATAAAAACCCAAGAAATGGTTTACACACAGAAAAAAACATTATTTGATGGTTACGAGTGATGGGAGGGTTAGGGAGGGGAAATCACTAACTAGATAGTAGACAACTTAACTTAGTTGAAGGGGAAAGACAACACACAATATAGGGAAAGGCAGCATAACTTAACCAAAGCAAAGTAATAGAAGCTTCCTAGACACAGCCAAACACCTTGAGGGGCTGAGTTATTGGGGCTGAGGGCTGGGAACCATGGTCTCAGGGAACATGTTGGCCAGTTGTCATAACATAGCTCATAAAGAAAATGTTCTGCATCCTACTTTGGTGAGCAGCGTCTGGGGTCTTAAAAGCTTGCGAGCGGCCATGTAAGATACGTCCACTGATCCCATCACATGTGGAGCAAAGGAGAATGAAGAAAACCAAAGACACAAGGAAAATATTAGCCCAAAGGACTAAGGAACCACATGAGCCACAGCCTCCACCAGCCTGTGCCCAGAAGAACTAGATGGTGCCAGGCTACCACCATGACCGCTTTGATAGGGATCACAGTAGAGGGTCCTAGACAGAGCGGGAGAAAAAGGTAGAACAAAATTCAAATTCACAAAAAAAGTGCTTGGTCTGACAGAGACTGGAGGAACCCCCGAGACTATGGCCTCTGGACACCCTGCTAACTCAGAACTGAAGCCACTCCCAAAGTCCACCTTCCAGCCAAAGATTAAGACAGACCTATAACACAATAGCATATGTAAGGAACATGCTTCTTAGTTCAATCAAGTATATGAGATCAAACGGGCAACACCTGCCCAAAAGCAAAGACAAGAAGGCAGGAAGAAAAGAAAAACTGGACGAGTGGACACGGGGAACCTGAGGTGTAAAGGGAAATGGGGAGAGTGCTGACACATTGTGGGGATTGCAACCAATGTCACAAAACAATCTGTGTATAAATTTTTGAATGAAAAACTAATTTGCCCTGTAAACTTTCACCTAAAACACAATAAAATTTAACAATCAGTTGACCATGGATCTGTGGGTTTATTTCTGGACTCTCAATTCTATTCCAGTGGTCTGTGTGTCTATTGCTATACGAGTATCATGCAAATGTTTTGGTTACTTTAGTTATCTGTGTAATATGTTTTAAAATCAGGAAGTGTGAGTCCTACTTTGTTCTTCTCTTTCAACATTGCTTTAGCTATTTGGGACCTCTTGCCATTCCATATAAACTTGAGGTTGTTGGGATTTTGGTGAGGATCATGTTCACTCTAAAGGTCACTTTGGGTAGTATTGATATCTTAACAGTGTTAAGTCTTCCAATCCATGAATGAGGAGTATCTTTCCATTTATTTAAGTCTTCTTTAATCTTCTTCAGCAGTGTTTTATAATTTTCATTATATCCCTGGTTAAATTTATTCCTAGGTATTTTATTCTCTTAGATGCTATTGTAAATGGAATCATTTCCCTTTCAGATTTCTCAGCTGATTCCCAGCTGATTTTTGTTTGTTGACCTTGTACCCTACAACTTTGCTAAATTTCTCTACTAGCTCTAGAGGTTTTCTTGCAGACTCTTTGGGATTTTCTGTATATAGGATCATGTCATTTGCAAACAGAGATAATTTCACTTCTTCTTTACCAATCTGGATACCTTTTCTTTTTCTTGTCTTATTGCTCTGGCTAGGTGTTCACCCCCTGTATAAGACACCACTCAGAAGGAATCAGTAGGAGCCGTGGTGGCACAGTGGTTAAGAGCTTGGCTGCTAACCAAAAGATCAGCAGTTTGAATCCACCAACTGCTCCTTGGAAACCCTATGGGGGAGTTGTACTCTGCCATATAGGGTCACTATGAGTCAGAATTGACTCGAAGGCTACAGGTTTGGTTTGGTTTTTCTACTCCAGTATGACCCTGTTAAGTAAACTGAAAATATCTTCAAAGAAAGACTATTTCCCAACAAGGTCACATTCACAGGTACGGGGGTTAGGATTTCAACACATCTTTGTGGGGGACACAATTCAATCTATAATAATATCCTACTATCATACTCCATAAAACACTTATAGGATGGAAAATGGGAAGTGATGACGGTGTGCCACCAAAGAGCTTCCATGGAAAAACACAAATACTACCAAGTCCAGCAGCAGTGTTGACCATGGATGGGGGACAATATTGAACATTGAATTTTGTTTGCTCCAAAGCAAATACTCTCCTGGTTGGGTAGACAGTTGAGACTGTTAGTGCAAAGGCCCCAGCTCATATGATGATGCAAGACCTAGACAGGCCCTGAGGGCATTCAGCGCTGGGTGGCCTGTAAGAATCACCCCTCTTCCTAAATTGCCTCCACAGTGTGAGACTGAGGAGTTACTTTGGCACTAGGGTGAATGTGGCTCTTTGTGCTTAAAATTTACATGTAGTACACAGATGAAAAGTCCTGCACTGAGTGTCCTGAAGTTATGGGTTCTCTCTGTGAGTATCCACCCATTTCCTCTGGGTTTCCATAATTCAGAACTAGGCTCTGTCATCTTTTGGATGTCCGTAACTTCCACAAATTTCCCACCACCTTCATGAATCTGATTCTATGTCATGTTTCTGTTTGTCTTCTACCCGTAGGTTTGGCCGTAAACTATGTCTCTTAATTACAATCCTCATAAACGCTGCATCTGGTATTCTCATGGCCATCTCACCCACCTACACATGGATGCTCACTTTTCGCCTGATCCAAGGACTGGTCAGCAAGGGAGGTTGGCTAATCAGCTACATCCTGAGTAAGCATGCTTGTGTTTGCAGCTGGGAGAGCAAAGGGACTTGGCTGCCAAAATATAGCCAGGGTAGCGGGTAGCTGCTCGGAAACATGGACCCAGCTTCAAGACAATGTTGGTATTTTTTTTCTGTATCAAAAGTATTTCTAAAATCTTTTCAATCAACTCATTCTGCATTCTTCCTATTAAGAAGAGAAAACAATGAAGACATAAATGAGGGCAAACATCATGCTACCAGATTCTTATATAACTCTCTTGGAATTTCTGTTTTCTGTACCCTAAATTATTACACAGAGAGAAAGTCAAGCTTACCAGTCTTCTTCATAAAGAAGATTCAGTAATAAGAGCTATGGTAGATTTATAAAGGGCTTCATTACTTTGCATAAAACCACTCTACTAAACCACAATTATCCTCAACGTACATACAAGAAAGCCAAGAATACAAGTACAGTAGTCAATCTACTCAGTAAACCATTTGTAGGACCAGGAATATTTGAATCCTAACAGCATAGTATCTTTTAGAGCAGTATTAACAGAAATTACCATCATCATCATTGTCATTAGTTGCCATCAAGTTGGCTCTGGCTCACGGCAATCTTATGTTCAACAGAATCAAACATTACCCAGTCCTGTACCATCTTCATGATCGTGGTATGTTTGAGTCCATTGTTCATGATGACTGAAAACCATCATTACATCTTAGGAATTAACCTCCTCCTTACTTTCTCCTCAGCTACATTCATATAGCATTCACACAAAGGGAAATGAACACTTAGAAATTACCTAGAAAAATATATATAAAGCTCTCATTATGCATGAAAGAACTAGAACGTGTGTGAGTACAATTTTACCTGGCCAAGTTACTTGTGGGAATTCTGTGAAACGAAGAGAAGACAGTGCTTAATACAATTCCTGCCACAGTAGGCAGAGGCGTATCTACAGAAAGTAGCACCTATGGCAAGCACTGAAATTGTGCCCCTGCAGGCCCATAGCAAGGGTAACAAGTGCCCAGGTTCAATCTCTAAGTTGCATGTCACCCCCCATTTCAAGATGCATAGACGTTGATCGCGGCAATGTGGCAGCAGGAACACCTTCTGCTCTCTAGTCCGGCTGCCTCAGTCAGGCACCTTTCATATTTGTGGTACTTCAGAATGTCATTCTGTACCTCGTCTGATGCTCACTTGGATGTGTACCCAGGTACAAATCCCCCTTCTGCACCCCCATTGCTACACCTCTGTGTCTACCATGCTTGAGGAAGGATGTTGGGCCATACAGTGTTAATAGGAACTGCTCAATGGCGCCCCCCTTCAGGTAGTACCCAGGGCATTGTCATACCTGCCATACTTTAGATACGCCTCTGATAGGCACACAGGAAGTGTTTGGTCAATGAAGGAATTAATGGTTTCTAGAACACATAATGTATAGAATTTAATTGTGTAAATTTAAATTTTAGCAAAAGTTAATTTCAGCATCCTGTCATTAATTTCTTCCCCAGTCCCTCTGAAGTGTCCTTCATGTACATCTTGCTACACTACCTCTTTCTACTCTACCTCCCTCAAACGCCATCTGTGACCCCAACCACTCTGAAAGACAAGTGTCTCTGTTTATTGAACACTTACATAATTCTGTTTAACTTTGTTTTGAAATACTTTAGGATAATTCACAGTCATTTATAGAAATATTTTTAGGGTGCATTTCTATTTGGCTTGTTGAAGTCTTTAACAAGTTTGCCAGATATTTAAGCCAAAAACTCTGTGGTTTGTGGAATATCTGAAATTTTGATCTGAGTATGTTTTTATTATCAAACGACTATCCCCTAATTCCATGTATCATGGACCTCATTTAGCTGTCCTGATGTAGTTATGGGATGGGATAAAGCTTATTATGCCATGTGCAGTGATGTGCTAGTAGACTGCTCTTGGAAAATCAAAAAGCCCTGATTTATAGTGTTTTCCAACTTCCATAATGTAAATACTCCCACCATGGCTGCTTCAAGATACCAATGGATTTAACAACCAGCTTGTAAAATTCCTGAAAATTGAAAAATAAGTTCTTGCAAGCCACAACTAGCTGGCTTCATCACATGGCTAGGTTTCTAGGTTTCTAAACCATTTAAGCAAATTAACAGAATTGCAAGGAAAATGTTTAACCGATGTAAGAGAACAGGTTATATTCAGGTGCTCATTTACATAGAAATCACCTACAGCCTAAATTCAAGTTTTGATTCATTCATTCAGGTCTTGAATTACCACTGCTGTATTACTCAAGGTCAAAATCTTGTGTGTGTATCTGAAATGCAACTGAATTTGCCCTTTAAATTATTCTATAATTCAAGTGTTTTTGCTTATCTCGGCAAGCCTTTTATCCCACCTACTGTGAGATCCGTAAGCTTTTACATTAATTAATACAATAGCAATAACAACAATAAAATAGGCCTCAAAGAACATTTTAAAATTTCCAGAGAACAATATAAAAAATTCTAGAATTTGGACTCGTTTTTTGAGGTTGGTGTTCTAGTTTCCCCATACTTACACAGCCAACTGACTGTTTTACTGACTTGCTTTGACCCTTTAAATGTTCTCTGAAGTTACAGAATTTGTCGGGCTGAGCTACCGGAGAACAGTGGGGATTTGTTACCAAGTCTGCTTCACTGTTGGGCTCCTGGTGCTTGCTGGGGTGGCGTACCTGCTTCCTCGCTGGAGATGGCTGCAGTTCACAGTTACTCTGCCCAACTTCTGCTTCTTGCTCTATTACTGGTAAGTTCGTTTGAACAAAAAGGAGATACATCTAAATGTCTTATTTTGCTAAAAAGGCCATCTTCCCAAGTGCATGCCATCCTTCCAAGTTCTAAGCTTTCCTTCACTCAACCTGTCTCTCTCTCTAGAAATCAAATGTTTTTTCACTTTGGGCTTAAATTTTTTATAACCTGGATCTTTCATCTCCACTCTACTTTGTATTTAAATTTGCTGCTAGCAGCTCTGATACAATTTAGACTGCAGATACTTTGAAGAGATGGTCAATATTACTGTTACTATTCTATCCCTCCTTAAAAGAATCTTCAGGGTAGAGAAGGCAGAGCATGGCCCTTATGTCACCACCTCCCCATACCCATTGTCAAGGCAGACATCACCAATCAATCACAGTAGCCTTCATCCCAGATAAGATCAACATGATGCTCCCAACAAACAAGACCAATCAATCAGAGTAACCGCAGTCAGTGAAATATATTTGTCATTCCCGACCAAGGCAAACACATGGAAGACAGCAGTCACTGTTAGAAACCCTTAATGTGAGGTTACCTGAAATAAAGCCAAGTGGGTTAAATGAATGATTTCTTTTAGAAGGATCGGCATAAAGCTGGTTCCTACGAGGCAGAGGTTAAAGATGTCCCAGATGTCCAGCTTCTCCAAACTGCTGTACCACTCCATCATCTCTAACAGCAGCTACTCCCCTCCGTCCTCATCCTCCCGTCTTTGGGTTCTGTAATTCACTGCAATGTCTCACAGAACTCACAAACTGTACTTACACTTATGGGGTTTATTAGGGACGTAACACGTTACAATTCAGGATCAGGACCAACTTGAAAGTAACAGGAACAACTCAGGATACAGTTCTTCTTCTCAGCCTGCTGCTGCTGGGCCCAGATCGCCTTGCTCTGTGGGCCGGAAAGCCCCACCTCAGCTGTCTCATGCCAGTCTCTGGTTCTTGTCACTCGTGCCGCTGCTACTCTTGCCGCGCATCTCACATGGTCTCTCTGTCTTCAGTGTTACAGCCCCTTCTGCTCTCTCTCTCCATGTCTCTCCCGAAAACCTCTGTCCAGGAGGCTGGTTATATAGCAAGCTCCTTATCAGTTACAAGGTGTGCCCCCCACCCCGCCCCCAGCAAGACCATGAACTAACCAATTCCCTACAAGGGTTTGATGCACCTTATTTGCATAGTTCCACCCCCCACAAAGGTCCCATGCACCTTTTTCGCATTAGAAAAACTGTCCAATCCCCTTGGTGGGCCACAGGCACCTTATCTGCATACTCTCACCCAATCATTTTGTAGGCGTTACAAGACCATGGTTATCAAAACCAAAAAACCCATTGCCGTCAAGTTGATTCCAAGTAGAACTGCCCCCATAGGGTTTCCAAGGCTGTATCTTTATGGAAGCAGACTGCCACATCTTTCTCCGAAAGAGTGGCTGGTAGGCTCAAACTGCTGACCTTTTGGTTAGCAGCCCAGTGCTTAACCACTGTGCCACCAGGGCTCCTTAGACCATGGCTAGAAGGACCATACTAAAGCAATTCACTACACCACAAGGGTGCTGGACTATCAGACCAAATCTCTCTCTCAGGCAACACACCCACATATTCAGTTCCTTCTGGACACATCCACTATTCTCCCCATCATTGTCTTCCCTAGGAATGAAACATCTCAGCCTGCCCAGGAAGCCTGTTCCTCCTCCAAAAGCCAGTACAACACTGAGAGTAATCTTACCTCCTTCTTTTTCCTCCTCTCCCTATATCTGATTTTACCTCCTTTATGTCTCTGAATCTTTTTTCCCCTCTATTTCCGTTGCTGTGGTTGTTGGTTGTTGTTAAGTTGGCTCCGACTCATAGTGACCTGATGTACAACAGAAAGAAATGTTGCCCAGTCCTGTGCCATCTTCACGATCATTGATACATTTGAGTCCCTTATTCCAGCTATTATGTCAATCCACCTCATTAGAAAAACATTATTTCTTGCTTGGATTACTGCCATAGACTCCCAACTGGTCTCCACCCTTCATTCCAAAAACCCAGCTCCACCATGTCACTCTCTACTTGAAAGTCTTTTGATGGGTTTTTCCCTCAGAAAAAAGATGATGCTTTAGCATGACAAAAAAAGGCCCATCTGTTATCCAAGCTCTGATGACCTCCAAAGCACTTCCTCTTGCCACTCTCACTAAACTCAAAGTGAATTTACTTACCATCCTACAAATGCTCCTTGGTGGAGTTTGCATTTTTGAAAGATTGCTGAAGATGCAGAGTGGAAAAAGGGTGTTATGGGAAAAGAATGGAGGCAGGGAGATCGGTCAGAAAACTACTGCAATGATCCTTGCAGGTGATGAGAAGGGCTGAATTAAGACAAAAGTTGTGGGTATGAAGAAGACATTATAAACAACTTTAATAGGTGGCAGAGACAGAGCTTGGCGATAGACTGTGAAGGTTCAGAGAATGGAGGTGTCTACTGGAATGGCACCCAGAGTTTAGTCCTGTGTGTATGTATGTGGTGGAGGTGTCATACAGAGAAATAAGGAACAGAGAAGGAGGAGCAGGTTTGGAAGGAAAGGAGGTGGGTTTCGCTTTGGATATGCTGAATTTGGGGTTCTGGAAGGACATCCACATGCAGATATCCAGAAGCAGTTAAATTTAAGGATCTGGAATTCAAGTAAAATTCAGGCATGTCTTTGTCGTAGCTATGGGAGTGGGTGAGATAACTCAGAGCAAATAGAGTTGGGAAAAGAAGGGGATATGGTCTGAACCCTAGAAAACAATTTTTGAGAGCTAAGCACAGGAAGAGGAGCTGGGACCAAAGAAGACTGAAATGGAACCATCAGACAGAAAGGAGGAGTTCTAGAAGAGGAGGGTGCTATGGAAGTCACAGGATGGGGACTTAGCTTGAGCACCACTCCCCTAAGGAGCCTTCCTTGGTTGGCCTGCCGCAATGTCCTAGGCTTGGGGACATTGCACATGTATCTCTGAAACCCTCATGTATCATTGTGTGCTGTAATCAACCAACCACTTGACATTGCATTACTTGATGTCTGCCCTCTAGACTGTGAGCTCTCAAGGCCAGGTAGCCTTAGGGGGCCATCTAGTCCAGCTTCCTGCCCAGGACCCAGATATCCATTAATAAAGCCCTAATAAATGATTTTTCACACTTTACTTGAACCTTACTATGGATAAATCTTTCTTTATCATAAAGCAAGCCAGTTCACTGTAGAACCCAAAGCTCTTATTAAAGAGATTTTCTATTGAACCAGAATTTAAGTTCCTGTGATTTTATCCAGTGTCCCCAGTTTTGTACTTGGAACTTCAAAAATTTAGTTTAATTTATAATTGACCCTCATTATTCACGGATTTTGTATTTGTGAATTCACCTACTCACGAGAATTCATGTGTAACTCCAAAATCAATACTCATAGCACTTTCAGGGCAATTTGTGGATCTGAGCAGAGTGGCAAAAACTTGAGTCACCTGATGTATATGTTCCCAGCTGAGATTCTACAAGGCAACGATCTGCCTTCTTGTTTCAGCTCTCATACTGTAAATAAGTGTTCTTTTTGTGGTCTATTTAGTGCCATGTTGTTTACATTTTTGTGCTTTTAGTTGGTGATTTCACTGTTTAAAATGGCCCCCAAGCATAATTCAGAAAGTGCTGTCTAGTGTTCCTAAGCCCAAGAAGGCTGTGATATGCCTTCTACAGAAAATACGTGTGTTAGAAAAGCTTCATTCAAGCCTGAACTCTAGTGCTGCTGGCCGTGAGTTCGATACTGTTGTTGTTGAGTTGACTATAACTCACGGTGATCCCATGTATGCGGAGTAGAACTGTGCTCCATAGGGATTTCAAGGCTGCAATCTTTCAGAAATGGATTGCCAGAACTTTCTTCTGTGGTAGTTTTGAACAGCCTCTAGGTGGTTTTGAACCACCAACCTTTCAGCTAGTAGTCAAGCACTTAACCGTTTGTACCACCCAGGGACACCTTAGTTCAGTGCTAATGAATCACTAATATGTATTAAATTAGTGTCTTTAAATAGAAACAGTTTAAACAGTCCAGTCCCTGAGAAGAACATCATGCTTGGTAAAGTAGAAGGTCAGCAAAAAAGAGGAAGACTGTCAACGAGGTGGATTGACACAGTGGCTGCAACAATGGGCTCCAACATAACAACGGTTGTGATGGTGGTGCAGGACTGGGCAGTGTTCTGTTCTGTTGTACATAGCGTCACTATGAGTCAGAACTGACTCGACAGAACCTAACAACAACAACAAACAGAAACAGGGTTATGTATTCATTGGCTGAGAAAACACTGTGCCTCAGAAGCTTGCAGGAACCTAACTCCGTCTTTCCCCGAGGAGCAATGATTCAGGATTCGCTAATTTGGTGTTTTCAGTGACTTTCTAGAACATACTGACTGCCAAGTATCAAAAATTGACTGCATGTTCCACCCGACAGTTCTTTAACTATCTGGATATGGCCTCTGAGTCCATGATGACTTTCCACCTCTAGTCTGAGTGTTTCTAGTTCCTACCTCCTCTGACTAGTGTCACAGTCCTTCACCTCCTTGGCCATCTGGTTCAGGAGACAGTCAGCTGAGCTGACTCCACACTTCCCAAACTTTGGCAGCCTGATCAGAACACTGGGCCCCAGGAGTGATCTAGAAAAATCCCACACAGTGTCACGAAGGGGGGCCTCTGCTGTGTGCTGTAACTTAACTGTTCTCAGTATACCAGGCCTTTGCTCCCGAGAGCGAGTCTTGCCAGAGGAGCTGCCCTGACTCCCCTCTCCACTGCACTCCCCCAAAAACACCCACCCCAGTCCTTTTGATCCCTGCCTCTCAGAACACCATTTCTCTCCAGTGGATGATCCCAACTGGGGCCTTCTTAACTGTACACCACAACTACCCTAAGTGCTGTCCTGTCATCTCCTTCCTGCCAGACCCTCCTCCTCCAACCCACCCTGACCCTGCTGCTGAGAGTCTTCTCCAGACTCAGACTCCAATGGGCACGTTCCTGCCCAAGGACTTCCCGACGGTCCCCTGTCCTGAAGAATCAAGCCCAAACCATGCAGTCTGGCTTTGAAGTTCTCCCACCCTCTGATTTCCAACTCTCATCACATGCTTCGGGAAATCAGCTTTCAGCACAAAACAATTCTACCTGCTCCCACCCCACGCAATGATTTGCACATTCCCACCCCATTCCTGGAAATCCTTGTGGCGTAGTGGTTAAGTGCTACAGCTACTAACCGAAAGGTCGGCAGTTTGAATCCACCAGGTGCTCCTTGGAAGCCTTACGGGGCAGTTCTACCCTGTCCTGTAGGGTCGCTATGAGTCAGAATCGACTCAACAGCAATGGGTTTCTTACCCCATTCCTGCTCCTCAGTCAGTCCTCGACCCTTGACAAAGCCTGCGGCCCACTCTAGCGGTCCTGCCTCTCCCCTGTGGCACAGAGGAGGAACTCAGCAGCACCCCAGTGGTCCTGCCTCCCCGCACCCGTGGCACAGAAGGGTTCTCAGCAGCACCCTCCTTGGTAGCTTGCTCCTGTGGTTTCGCTGGAACCTCTGAGGAGGCACCAGGACTTCCTGGACAGGGTGGACCACCAGTCAACATTTGAAGGAGGAAAGAACCACGTATTTCCCACACAATCCTTGCTTCCGTTGTAGCTCCCACTAAACCTCACTGTGTGAGAGCCCCCACAGAAATCTGATCCTGACTATCATAGGGGTGCTCAGTCAGACTCCCCCCTGCACTCAACAGCAGTGACAACACTTACCCTGTACCACAGGTGCCTCCCCGAGTCTCCAAGGTGGCTGATCTCCCAGAACAAAAATGCCAAGGCCATGAAGATCATCAAGCACATCGCGAAGAAAAACAGAAAATCTCTGCCGGCCTCTCTTCAGGTGAGCCAGCCGCTTAAGCACCACAGCAGGAGACAGTGGGAAGGGAGGGGCTGGGAAACGGAGGGCACCAGCCAGAAGGGCCCCTCCCCTCCCATATCTGCCTACCTGTAGTAAAATGAACAGACTATTTCATCTACTGAGATTTGAGGTTCCCTGGTAGACTGCTTCAAACAGGCAGAAAACATAAAACTAAAAGGGAACCAAAAATCAAATGAGGCGTGACTATTTCATGCAACTCAACGTTGACCTGCCCTTGCCCCACCCTCAGTATGCCAGCATCTGGTTTGCATGCTCATCCGGCATACTCCAGAAAGGCTCCACAGAGGGCAGATTCCAAGATGAGTTAAGACGTAGTTCTCCAAACGCAAAGAATTTCTTAGAATTTTAAATGGATCAGAATTGTCCCAAAACGTTTTAAATAATTCCCTGCCTTATTCAGTGTTGTTGTTGTTGTTAGATGACATCCAGTCGGTTCCGACTCATAGCAACCCTACGCACAACAGAATGAAGTAATGCCCGGTCTGCGTCATCCTCACAATCATTGCTATGCTTGAGCCCATTGTTGCAGCCTCTGTGTCAGTCCATCTCGCTGAGGATCTCCCTCTTTTTCGCTGACCTCCTACTTTAAGAAACATGATGTCCTTCTCCAGGGACTGGTCCCTCCTGATAACATGTCCAAAACACGTGAGACTCATCCTTGCTTCTAAGGAGCATCAGTCTAATGTCTGTCCCCATCTTCACCTGGCCATCTTCCCTCTGTGTCTGTGTCCTCTCCTTATAAGGATACCAGTTATTGGATTTGGGACCCACCTTAAATCCAAAATGATCTCACCTCAAGATCCTTAACTGATTACATCTGCAGAGACCATATTTCCAAATAAGGTCACATTCTGAGGTTCCAGGTAGACATGAGTTTTGGGGGACACTATTCGACCCACTACATCTGTGCATAGAATTACTGGGGATCTTGTGAAAATGCAGATTCTGATTCAGTAAATCTGGGTTGGGACCCGAGATCTTTATTTCAAAGAAGCTCCAGGTGATGCTGATGCTGCTGGGCTTAGTATCAAGGCCCCTTAACAGAGCTTCCTACCTGATGGGTCACAAATAGGTCCAGGTGTGTGAAGATGCTGATTCCCTCAGCCGGACGGCAGCTGGCTGGGCCTCGATCTTACCCCACTGTGCTTTACAAATAGTATCGCTATATATGTGCCATAATTACCTAAATTCTCTGTATCTCAGTCGCCTCTGCTATAAAACCAGGTGAAAAAAAATAGAGGATCATTATAAAGATTAAGTGAGATGGTGTGTGTGAAGCACTCAGCGTAGTAGGGGCACATTATAAGCATTCCATAAATGTAAGGTGTTGTTGTTGTTCCACGTATGACCCAGGGACACCACCATTAAACATACAAAGCTGTTATTGTTTCTATTCTTTAGAGCCTTAGACCTGATGAGGAAGTTGGAAAGAAGCTGAATCCTTCATTTCTTGACTTGGTCAGAACCCCTCAGATAAGGAAGCACACTTTGATCTTGATGTACAACTGGTAAGGAACGTTTTTCGTTTTAAGATCCCCCCACATTCTTTTAACGCCAGTCATCCTCATTAAGGAGAGAGAACAACAGCACCTTCAGAACACAGCCTAATCCCAGGATTAATATTGATGGTGGACATCAATGTGTGGCTCATTTATAGCAGGTTTTCCCAATACCGTTTTTCTCAGGCAAATGTTGAAATCCATTTACAGTCCCTAAGCACAGATCAGTTCGTTCTCAACCTTGGCTTCCCATTAGACTCACCTGGGGACTTTTAAAACTACCGAGGCCAGAGCCCCACCTCCTGAGATACTGAGGGAATTGATCTGGGGTAGGGCCCAGGAACCAGTATTTTAAAATATATTTCTAATATATAGCCAAATTGAGAACTAGTGGCCTTGATTCATTGAAAATGAGTATAGATCTCTTCTTATTGTACAGGGCTGACAAGAAAAAAGACATCGACCTGGAGGGGAAAAAAATCAATTTATGAACAAGAACAATCCACTGTTACCACAATCCAGTAACTTGAACTTCACTATGTCTGCTGTCTGCAGTCGCTCTCAATATTGGGAGTTGCTTGCTGTGGGTTGTGCGTTTCATGGAGGCTCGCTTCCTTTCAGTGCACACTGGTTGCCACACCAGACAAATGAAGGCCTATAACCACTGACTAAACCAAAGCTCATCAGGAATTAATTTAACAACCTCCACAAAGTTGCTTGTAAAATACAATGGTGACATTCAGCCCCATTATCCTCCTTTCCTTCTCTGAATAATCATGACTCTTGCTCATTAGCCTCATATTGTGCATTGCAGATAATGAACATTTTTTTAGTCAACAAAACTAGAAACAGCATCAAAATGTTGTTTGCATCAGGTCAGAAGACAAACCACCAAGAAGGTGGTTGTGCCCATTTGATCTTCTGCCTTCCTAAAATTTGATATAACTGGTAAATCTTCTTGATTCCAACTCCATTAGAAGACCACAAAGAGAAGTAATTAAGCAACCACTAATAGCTTGATATAGTTTTACTAAATAAATCACTCTGACCATTGAGACATTTCTTCTTGGCTTTCAATTAGGCCTCGGAATGCCATCCTAATTTCTTCCCCTTTCCTGGTTCTTGGGTCACAACCAGCCACCACAGTGGATCAGATGCATAAGAACAATGGAATGGAGGGAATAGTAATTAGAAGATCACAAAGAAAGGTGGCCTCCCATCACTTCCCACTTTTCCAGAAGTCTCTCCCTTTTGGTTACTTGCTTTTGGTGCTTAGCTTGACCTGGGCTCTCCTCTTTGCTCAGGTTCACGAGCTCTGTTCTCTACCAGGGCCTGATCATGCACATGGGCCTTGCAGGGAGCAACATCTACCTGGACTTCTTCTACTCGGCCCTGGTTGAATTCCCAGCTGCTTTCATCATCATTCTCACCATCGATCGCATTGGCCGCCGGTATCCTTGGGCTGGGTCGAATATGGTGGCAGGGGCAGCCTGTCTGGCCTCAGTTTTTATCCCTGACGGTAAGTTTCAGAGCAAGCTGGGGTCCTCCAAGGCCCTGAGAAAAGGGAGTGTCAGGACCCTTTGATAGGATGAGCATGTAATTTATCATCCAAATCAATTTGGAAAGAAAAAGAATAATATCTGGAATCATCCTCGGTAAACCTATGTGGCCACCCTGCCTTTAAGAATAATTGCACCCAATTGTTTCCTGGTGTAAAATAAAAGAAAGGCTATGAAGAATTATGCTTCAGGCCACGGCGCTGGCCTAAGATAGAGAGCATGGGCTTTGGGGTAGAGCAGGGCCCAGGATCACAGTCTTACACTAATATGTCCAGATAGCATTTAGGCAAATCCCTTGACCTCTCTGCATCATCCTGTAGATTAAATGAGACAACTTAAGGAAATGCAATCAATAAACAATTACTTAGTTCCTTTCTTTTTAAAATGCTTTCTCAATGAAGAGGAACAAAATCCTATATAACAGGATCCCATTAGCAATATGGGGCTTGGTTTGAATCCCTTGGTTGCTGGCAATTATTTAAAATATGCCCATATTTTGCTGTTTCTTTTGGGTGATCTCTACAAACTAAAGCTGGCCCACGTTGGAAACAGGTTGTTTCCGAATTCTGTTGTTATTAACTGCTGTGGTCTACAGCTAAGAGAGACAATTGTGTCTAACATTAAAACAAAGAGAGAGAGAGAATTTGCTGACATTGTCTTGAATCTACAGAAGAACAAATTGTGCTCTCCTACCCCACTCTGAAATATGGAATTTCTCCTTACAAAGCCCATCTGGAGTACTCTTTGAAGAAGAAGCATTGTGCACATTATGGATAAGTGGTGTGGTTTGTTTTTTTTCCCCCTTCAGACCTACGCTGGCTAAAAATTACAGTTGCGTGCCTGGGCAGAATGGGGATTACAATGGCCTACGAAATGGTTTGCCTGGTCAACACAGAATTGTACCCCACATTCATTAGGTGAGTACATTTTACTCAGCACAGAGAGAGTGGGTGGAGTGTCCACTTCTTGGCTGGTACTACCACAGGTGCAGGGTAAGGCTACAGTACTTTTTAACACACAGTGTAAGAGAAGATGAGAACATTTAAAGACAGAAGCCAAGTCAAACAGTTCACCTCCCACACTTGTAGGCTGGGATAAAATTCAGAAACGGTGTGGTGAGAGCAGCAGATATTGAATTCCAAGACAGAGACTACCAAGCAGTTACAGGAGAGAACGCTCCAGAACAGCACAAACAGACCCCTAGAAATGGCGCAGGGGAAACAGGTGATGAAAATACAAAGTAAAAATTACTCCCCTCTCCCATTAAAAAATTTAAGTTACAAGTACATCAGAATATGAACGGATTTATGTACCATATATAGAAGTGAGGATGGCGAGACTTCGACTTGCTGACTTTGGACATGTCATCAGGAAAGACCAATCACTAGGAAAGAACATCATGATTGGTAAAGTAGAGGGTTGGTTAAAATGAGGGAACCCCTCCATGAGATGGATGGACACAATAGCCCCAACAATGGGGTCACACATGTCAATGATCATAAAGATGTACAGGACCAGGCAACGTTTCGTTCTGTTATACATAAGGTCACCACGAGTTGGAGCAGACTCGACAGCAACCGGCAGCACCATTTTTGTGCGTTACAAATAATGTGAACACCTTTTTTCAGGTCGCAGACATTTTAATGATTTGGGAGCCTATTTTTTGGGGGTGGGGTGGGAGTTTTCTATGTACTCTGATAAGCTAAACAGTTAATAAGCTTCCTGCATTTTAGGAACCTTGGGGTTCTTGTCTGCTCCTCAATGTGTGACATCGGTGGCATCCTCACGCCGTTCCTGGTGTACCGGCTCACCGATGTCTGGCACGAACTCCCACTGGTGGTTTTTGGTAAGACATTCTCATCAATGTGGTTAAGTGAAAATCTGTTTTTCTAGGGACCTCCATTTTTCTACCTAAAAATAAGAGTCATGCAGGTAAATACTAACACTCAAGTATGGGAACCCACTGGACTCATGAAGTGCAAAGTTCAAGAGAAAGTGAGCTGGCAGGATGTTGCCATGAAGCAGGCCCCTGGTTCTCTCCCCACTGGTTCCCACCCCTCCTTGGCTCTCTTTGTCAAAGGGCTGACTCTTTCCACCACCTCCATGCTCAGATACGGAAAATTACTTCATTACTTCAAAGAATGGCAGTTGGAATGAGAACACAAACCAAAATTAAGAAAAGGCATGAGCATAATGGAGCACTGTGTGGGTGTTGGGGTCTCCTTCCTCAAAATCCTTGGCAGTTAGATTTACGGGACTTTGGCATTGCATTCCTTTCTAACACGGTCAGCGGAGTCAAGGACAGGTCAGACTGTACACTGCCGACCCCCTACCTTCCCCCACCAGTGGGAGGAGGATGCAAGGTCACAGGGTCAAGTCCAATTATCAGCAGTTAGCACACAGAGACACGTGCTGAGCATAGTATGTATAGATTGAGAGAATTCCTGGGCCTTCCATTCACCCAAGGTCCACTGGCTTTGCCCACAGTGATAGACTATGAGACAGATCTTCTCCCTTCCATGTGTCCCACAGACGTTTGTGACTTGAATGCTGTTTCCAGATTCACACACACAACACCCACCTTCTCGTGTTAACCCAAATGCCTCTAAGTACACTCAGTTCAGTCTCCTTCAAGACCCACATTAAGCCCCTTCGCATTTAAATATGTTACACCTTTTTCCCATGGGCATACAACACTCAGGAGCCCCGGTGGCTCAACAGTTAAGCACTTGGCTGTTAACTGAAAGGTTAGCAGTTCAAACTCATCTAGCAGCTCCATGAGAGAAAGACCTGGTGATCCGCTCCCATAAAGATTACAGCCAAGAAAATCCCATGGGGCAGTTCTACTCTGTCAAATGGGATCACTGATTCGGAATCGACTCGACGGCACAATATCGACAACCCACAACACTCACTTAATTGAAAGGAGGGAAGAAAAAGACCCCCCAGATGAACACCAGGGAGCACCCTGATTGTTTTCTCCTGATACTGCTCAGTGCCACATGAGTGTACCTCTGCTCACTCCTTTTCTTTCCCATCCTCTCCAGGGATTTATGAGGGAAAAGATCTTCCACTGCTATAGATCTGCCCGCAAAAGTTCCAGACTGTTGATAGAACTCACCCTTGAAACAGACCCAGTGAATTCCTCCACATTCCACCTTACTTATAACAAGATGGCCAAGGTTGATAGAACACAAGTTATTTATCCTGAGATCGCTGTGGTCTGGCTGCGGAGTGGCTGGCCCTGCTTAAGGGACATACGTACCCCAGATTTCTTCTTCTTCTCATTATTGGCTGGGAACCTGTCACCCCTTTCCATCTTGAGGAGATGCCTATGTACCCTCTAGACTCCTTCCTTACAGGAAGAAGTTGGACATGCCTCAATCTCAGCTTCTCCCCTGGCAGGACAGTGAGTGTTCATTGGGCCAGTGGGTATTCCTGGGTAGCAAATGGATGCTTCTGTTTCTCTAGGGACTGCTTAACAAAGCAATGAGAAGTCCAGTCCCAGAGGAACTGTTTTGACCCTTCTTCAAGCCCCACCTCCCCCTAGGAAAAGGTGAAGGATTATACTTGCATTTCAACATGTAAAATTAAAGACAAGCCCCAACTTTATCTTTGCCAGTAGTTTCATCTTCTTCCCTCACCAGCCTTTAATCTGAGAGGTCAGCAGAAAGCAAAACTAACCATTTTGCATTTTAACTTCTTTCCCTTTCTCTTCCTCACAATAACCAGAAACCAAACCAGCTGCTTTTGAGTCCAACTCATGGTCCCTTCATGTGTTGCACAGTAGAACTGCTCTATAGGGTTTTCAAACCTTTCAGGAGCAGATTACCAGGCCTTTCTTCCGAGGCACCTCTAGGCAGGTTCAAACTGCCAGCCTTTTGATTAGTAGTTGAGCACGCAACCATTTCCAGACACTAATGGTGTGCTAATTGTGATCTTAGCCACAAAACACTGTGGTTGTTGTTAGGTATCGTCGAGTTGGTTCCAACTCATAGCAACCCTATGTACAACAGAACAAAACACTGCCTGGTACTGCGCCATCCTCACAATCGTTGCTATGCTCGAGCCCATTGTTGCAGCCACTGTGTCAATCCATCTCATTGAGGGTCTTCCTTTTTTGCCAACCCTCTACTTTACCAAGCATGATGTCCTTCTCCAGGAACTGATCCCTCCTAATAACATGTCCAAAGTATGTGAGATGAAGTCTCACTGTCCTTGCTTCTAAAGACCTTTCTGGTTGTACTTCTTCCAAGGCAGATTTGTTCGTTCTTCTGGCAGTCCATGGTATATTCAATATTCTTCGCCAACACCATAATTCAAATGAATCAAGTCTTCTTCAATCTTCTTATTTATTGTCCAGCTTTTGAATGCTTATGAGGTGATTCAAAATACCATGGCTTGGGTCAGGTGCACGTTAGTCCTCAAAGTGACACCTTCACTTTTCAACACTTAAAGAGATCTTTTGCAGGAGATTTGCCCAGTGCAATGCATCTTTTGATTTCTTGACTGTTGCTTCCATGGGTGTTGATTGTGGATCCAGGTAAAATGAAATCCTTGACAACTTTAACATTTTCTCTATTTATCATGATGTTGCTTATGGGTCTAGTTGTGAGGATTTTTTGTTTTCTTCATGTTGAGGTATAATCCATACTGAAGGCTATAGTCTTTGATATTCATCAGTAAGAAGCCTGAAAAATCACTAAAAATCCTGAAAAATCAACCAGTTGGAAAGTCCTTGTTAAAAGAACACTGGAAACATTGATAAGGAATATCCTGGCTAACTAGGCCTTTCTTTGCAAATGTAAAATGCCAGTGATGATAATTTGATGAATCTATTGTATTCTTCATGATTGCAACATCTTAATAAATAAAGAAAACATTGACGTTGCCAAGGATTTCATTTTACTAGGATCCACAACCAACAGCCATGGGAGCAGTGGTCAGGAAATCAAAGGACTTGTTGCATTGCACAAATCTGCTACAAAAGAACCCTTTAAAGTGTTGAAAAGCAAAGACATCACTTTGAGGACTAAGGTGCACCAGACCCAAGCCATGGTATTTTCAATGCCCTCATATGCATGCGAAATCTGGACCATGAATAAGGAAGACCAAAGAATTGACGCCTTTGAATTATGGTGTTGGCAAAGAATACTAAACATACCATGGACTGCCAGAAGAACGAACAAAACTGTTTTGGAAGAAGTACACCAGAATGTTCTTTCAAAGCGAGGATGGTGAGACTTCATCTCACATACCTTGGACATGTTATCAAGAGGGACTAGTCCCTGGAGAAGGACATCATGCTTGGTAAAGCAGAGTATCAATGAAAAAGAGGAAGACCCTCAACAACGTGGATTGACACAATGGCTGTGACAATGGGCTCAAACATAGCAATGACTGTGAGGATGGTGAAGGACTGGGCAGTGTTTCATTCTGTTGTACATAAGTCACTATGAGTTGGAACCAACACGACGGCACCTAACAACAACGAATCTGATAGACCGGGAAGAAGTATTTAATTAAGTATATTATTTGGATTTAAAAAATGACCGCCAGAATTGAGTGAAAACAGATTCAGATAAAAATGTTTGCTTTGGAACTGAGAGTAAGGGTGAGGGGGCCGGGGCAAGAGACTATCATTTTTCATCACAAATCCTTTGACCTCTTCATGTTGCTTTGATTAAATAAATAAATGCATAAAATAAGCCTATCGTAGGTATGGTTAGGGTACCATTGTTTAATTTTAATTTAAAACTGTGTCGGAAAGTTTATCAGGTGCCTTCATGTGATGGGAAGAGGGCAGTGAAGCTCACTAATATGGCAGCGCAGCGCCACAGAACCGGAGATGGGGTTCAAAGCAAGACTGACCATCTTCTGCGGGCTAATTGACTTGGGAAAGTGGCTTATCCACTGTGAGTCTCAGCTGGCTCATCTATAGAATGAGAATTATAATACCTAACTCAGAGTTTGGGTAGAGAGTGAGCCATTGCACATAAGACGCTTAGCATAGCTCCCAATATACTACAAAAAAAAAAAACCTTATTGCTATTCAGTCAATTCCAACTCACAATGACTCTATAGGACAGAGTAGAACTTCCCCATAGGGTTTGCAAGGCTGTAATCTTTACAGAAGCAGACTGCCACATCTTTCTCCCACAGAACAGCTGGTGGGTTCAAACCGCAGACCTTTCTGTTAGCAGCCGAGCGCTCAATCACTGCACCACCAGGGCTCCTTCAATACACTACAAGTCCTTGATAAATAGTAGTAAAATGTTTGGTCTCAAGTCCTGGGATCAAGATACATAAACTTCTATATGTATGTCTTGCTTAGGTCACAGGGCAGTTAACGTCAAACTCTTTAAATTCCCAAGGCCATCCATTCTTAAGCTCAAGTTCTTTCCAGATCTGAGTGAGGTTTACCAAGAATCCTGCCTCCTGTCAGGGTTAGCAGGGACAGGCGGCCGCCCCTTGGTTTCCCATGTGTTTTCTTGCAGCCCATTCCCATCACCAGTCTTGGAGTGTGGAAAGCACTCACAAGCCAGGGATGGGCTGGGTCCAGCATTCTACTAAAACCCCAACACTAGTGACTAACCCATAGCCCACTTCCTACATTCTATTATAGAAATACATATAGAAATATAATTTTTAAAATCTAAAACTTTAATGGGAATTTAAACAAACAAAAGTATTAGAGGTTCAGTATCTACCCCCAGCACATGCAAAAGGTTACAGAGGAAGACAAAGAAAAGAAAAGGAACAAGAAGAACTTATCAAACTCCTGACTTTGAACTGAAAAGCCTGGCTATCCTTTTTAATCATGCTGTGCAGTAATACATGATTCATTGCTTTTACTTGCTAGTAAAGATCCAAGCTTCTGACTTATTTTCATTACTAAGTGCTTTATGTTAGCAGGGTTATGTCCTTCCTTTTTTTAACATTTGATTTTTTCAGAGTTATTTTCTAACTCCAAAGTATCTTAATATGGTGAAGATGTCCTGTAGCCTAGAATAACCTTGGCTCAAAATGTTAAGTATTACATTTCCATAAAAGGAATTGTAACCCAGTGGAGTTTGGAGTCAGTGTAATATTTACGATGGAAAATGGGGCAGTCAGAGATGGTAAAGGAATCTGTAAATAAGTATAAGAAAATACAAAAACAGAAATAAGGGGAGATCTAATTACACTACCTACGTTTTTCAGTTCTTAATGTGATTTGCGTATGTTTGGCTTTTTCAGCTGTGGTTGGCTTGATCGCTGGAGGGTTGGTGTTGCTGCTGCCAGAGACCAAAGGGAAGCCTTTACCTGAGACAACAGAGGAAGCTGAAAACATGCAAAGGTAGGGAGTCGAAATTCTTAAATGAAAAATTCAGAAAGTGTTTTGGGACAACTTGGTGGCCAGTTGGAAAAAAGACTAGGCTGAATCCATATCTCATACCATACATTGAGAAAAATTCACATATATCAAAGACTTAAAAATGCAAAAAGAAAAAAAAGAAACAGTGAAATAATGAAGAAACTATAAGAGAATTATTTTATACTTTCATAGTGGGGAAGGTCTTTCTAAATAGGACACAAAATCCAGAACTCATAGAAGAAAGACTAATAAATTTGCCTTCATAAAAATAAAAATTTCTGCATTAAAAAACTAATATAAGCTAAAAAAAAAAAACTTGGAAAAAATACCACTCTACGAAAAGCTAATGTCCCCAATATATAAAGAGCTCTAACAAATCCATAAGAGCAACTACCCAATAGAAAAATGGACAAAGGAACTTCAACAGAGAATTCAGTGAAAACGAAATAAAAACATCTCTTACATATATGAAAATATACTCAGCCTCATTCATAATAAGAAAAGTACAAATCAGCACCATTAATATCCACTTTTTCTTGGATTGTAGAAGGCTAAATTACTTGGTAACATTGTGTTAGGAAGAATGTGGGAAAATAGGCCCATACGTCTTTGGGGAAACCCTGGTGGTGTAGTGGTTAAGAGCTACAGCTGATAACCAAAAGGTTGGCAGTTTGAATCCACCAGGCACTTCTTGGAAACCCTATGGGGCAGTTCTACCCTGTCCTATAGGGTTGCTATGAGTCACAATCAACTCAAAGGCAAAGGGCTTGGTTTTTTTTTTTTTTTGGTTATACATCACCGGTAGGAACACAAGTTGGAAACCTCTCTGAAGGACAATTTGACAACAGCTACCAAAATTACAAACGCACATATCCATCTACCTGGCAATTCCACGTTTCCAGGAATTTGTATGTGCAAAATGATATATAGAGATAATTATTCATTGAATCATTTTTAATATAACAAAAGATTGGAAATAACTCAAATGTCATTAATTATGAGACCACTTAAATAAATTATGGTAGGCCATTCAATAAAATACTGTGTAAAAAACCAAAACCAAACCTGTTGCTGTTGAGTTGATTCCGACTCATGGTGACCCTAAAGGATAGCGTAGAAGGGTTTCCAAGGAGTGGCTGGTGGATTTGAACTGCCGACCTTTTTGGTTAACAGCTGGGCTCTTAACTACCACACTACGAGGGCTCCAAAATACTATGTAGCCATTAAAAAGAAGGATATCATGCTTGGTTAAGTAGAGGGTCAGCGAAAAAGAGCAAGACCCTCAAGGAGATGGATTGACACAGTGGCTGCGATAATGGGCTTAAGCGTAACATCGATCATGAGGATGGCGCAGGATTGGGCAGCGTTTGTTCGGTTGTACATAGGGTCGCTATGAGTCGGAACCAACTTGATGGCACCAAACAACAACAGGGCAGGAGTTGCTGGCAACAACAGCCATTAAAAAGAATGAGGCAGCTTTACAAACACTGATAAGGAAATTATCCCAGATACATTGCTAATGAGAAAAAAAAGCAAATTATAGAAAAGTATATATTGTATCATTTGTATAGAAAAGAAGGGGGAAGTACATATACATATTTCCTTGTATCTCTGGGAGAATATGCAAAAAACAAAGCCTAACATTGGTTGTCTGTGGAAATAGGTGGCTATGGGATATAGGAGGGAGACTTTTCAATGCATACCTTTTTGTCTTCCTGAATTTTGAGCCATGTGAACCTATTCAAAAAGTAAACTTTAAAAAAATCTAAATAACAGAGGAAATTTGGCTGCTAACCAAAAGGTTGGCAGTTTGAATCCACCAGCTGCTTCCTGGAAACCCTATGGGTCAGTTCTACTCTTCCTATAGGGTCGCTATGAGTTGGAATTGACTCAATGGCAATGGTTTTGGGTTTTTGGGTTTTTTTGTTTTAGATGGTATCATCCCCAGAAGTTTGTTTATGCGGTAGGCTTAGATATATTTATCTGTACTCTACTTTTCGCCCATCAGTGCCAGAAACTGTACTGAATTTTATCCATTCTGCAAAACTTTCACACTTAACATATTCCTTACTTGAGAAAAATGTTGTTGGAGAAGAATCACAGAGGTATAAGACTTTTCCTAGAATTTGAATCTTAAAGTTGGAAGAGGTCTATGAATTCAGCCAAGGTCACATGCTGGCAGCCTGCAGCACACAAGGCCTCAGTTATTTTGCTTGGCCCACACAGTATTTTTAAAAATGGGAAATTTCACATAAACTGACTTCCAGAATCTGTTAAAAAATTAGAAGATTTGCTAACACTGGCCAGGCATTTCCTCCTGGTGATAATTTGCTGGGGCTGAGTGATTGCTCAGCTTTTTGATGGGCCATGCCTTCTGTGGTGACCGCAGTCCCCACCATTCCTGATTGTCTTCTGCCTGGTACACTTATATTGTCTCGATGGCTCTTGTAGACATTTGAGTTTGAGATCCTTGATCTAGATCAACTATCACCCTGTATCCTGGTCTCAATGCAGCTTCCCACCCACCTGAGCACCAGCCCTGAGGACAGAGACTATGTCCTGTTGAGTTTCATAGCCTGAGAGTTTAACACAGTCCCTGGCACACACAGAGCAGCAGCTCACCAGATGTCTGTGGAATAAATGCTGGAATTCCTTCTATAGCACTCCTAATTGAAATTCATCTGGGCTTTTCCCAGGTCTTCACATTTCCCATCTGTAAAAGGGTCGTGGGAGTAGTAGTGTCAGAACCTGTCTAACTTCAGGGGGGATCATGTGAATCAAGATCAGTCCAAGGCTGATCCCTATGAGGTGGCGGTCAGACATACCTCCACTCTCCAAACTTTTAACAATTCTGACACCAGCTGTCCCTCCCGTGACACTCTCTACTTCTGAGTTTGACAATCCATTGCAATGGTCACACAGAACTCACAGATCATATTCACAGTTAAGTGGTTTGTTAAGGAAGCAACAAGGTACAACTCAGGATCAGGATCATCAGGCTACAACTTGGGATCAGGATCAGGAAGCATGTAGGCAAAGCCTCCCTTCTTCAGTGCAAGACAGCTCTCTCAGCTCCTCTTGGCCCTGCCGTCTGTTGCTGCTGGCTCTGCCGCTGGGCCCCTTCCAGAGCTGTCGCTGTCTTCAGTGTTACAGCCCTTGACCCGTGTTACAGCTCTTTTAGGGGGTTCCTTGCCTCTTCTTTCTCTCTGCCTCTTCTCTCTCCTTTCTTCCTTCTGCTTTTTCCTGCTGCTTCTCTTCCTGCTTCTTTCTGTCTCCAAAAAACCTTGGTAGGGTTGGCTGCTTATAGCTACAACTGCTTGCCAATTTCAAGACAGGGCCCTCCCACCAGGGCCATGAAATGACCAATCACCTCTCGGTAGGCCACAGATACTTCATTTTTATAGTAGATGTCTTAAGCTGGGTTCTCTAGAGAAGCAAAACCAGAGAGATTTATATAAAGGAAATGGCTCACATGGTTGTAGAGGCTGGAACGTCCCAAATTCATGGGTCAGGCTGGAGGCTTCTCCTGATTCACGTAGCTGCAGGGGCTGGTGAACCCAAGATCAGCAGGTCAGACAGCAGAGCTCTGGCTCACAGGCTGCCAAGATCAACGAATCCCAAGATCAGCAGACAAGACAGCAGGTAAGCTGCTAGCTCAAGTTTCAAGAATCGAAGGTCAGACCAACAGGAGCCAGCTGCAGGATCCAGAGCTAGCAAAAGCCCAAGAGTCTTGCCAGACAGTCCACTTATATTCAATACAGGCCACACCCCCAAGGAAACTCCTTTTCAACCGATTGGCTACTCATAGCAGATCCTGTTATGGAAGTGATCACATTATATCATATCTCATGATATGACTGCCAAACTACTTCAAAACTGCCAAACTACTGAGAATCATGGCCCAGCCAAGTTAACATACAACCTTAATGATCACAGTAGGTTACAGACATTTCATTTGCTTAGTCTATTGACCAATCCCTGCAAGGTGCATACCAATCACAGGGCAGGCTGCAACTCAGGGCCAGGGAGAAAGTATCAAACCATCCTTGTTTACAGCTTACCCAAGAAATGTCAATCAACCTGGACAAAAGTAACAAACCCTCTGGAGCAGAAAACCAGGGCAAAAGTAACTCCTCAAGGCTTAGGGGGAAAATCTCTCAAGCTGCTTCTTCCAAAGAACCAAGGCAAAGGCCACATAAAGGAACTGATTTCACCACAGATCTGTGTGGTCTTCACTTCTCTAAGCCTTAGTTTCTTCCTCTGTAAATGGCTTGTTGTGACAATTAAATGAGAGAATGCACATAAAATGTCTGGCCCTTAATAAATGTTAAATAACCACCATTATTCATAGAAGCTCTCATAGCTGTCCTATAAAACAGGAAAATGTGTACCTATTTATTGGAAATCACATTTTAAAACATGTTCTGAGTTACTTTGAGACATGGAAATACAGCTCAGTGATACAACGTGCACCTCTACCGTAAGCATTTTTTAATTGTCATCAGGATGGTTCAAAACAGGCTGATTGTTTAAAAGATTGCCTGGTTTGTTTGGGTTTCTTTTATTCTTTCTATTTATGTGATCTACAAAAGCTTCTATAGAGATTTGCACTTTTCTTTTTCCACATTACATAACCCAATTCACCTTTCTAAGATAGAAGCCAGGTCTGTGTAAAGTTTGGGGAATTGCAGAATGAGAGTGTGAAAGGGTGAGAGCTGAGATGGAGCTGGGAGGAGGGCCGCCTGGAGGAGGAAGGGAGGAGGGCCGGCCACAGCTGGTCCCTGGGCTCAGGCAGGCAGCTGCCTTATTCAGGAACGCTGACTAGACACAACAGGGCCCCAGATCCATCCAGGGTCCCAGCCGCTGAGGGAGAGCTGCAGGAATAGGGTAGGACAGGACACTCCTCCCTTGCCAACCAAGTCATTTTGTACCTAAGGGCACCAGGTCCAACTGGAATCAGACCTAGTTACAAATATAGTCGCAATCCCTTACTGATGCCTACCTCGTTTCACCTGTTTCCTGTTCTGTAAAACGAGGCTAACAACAGCTAACATTTACTAAGAGCTTTTAACTAGTGCTTTCCAAGCCCTCCTTACGTATGATCCCATTGAAGTCTCACGACAACTCTATGAAATAGGAATTATCATTAATTGCATCTGACAACTGAAAAGAGCAAGGCACAGCGAGAATAAGGAATTTGCCCAAAGTCATACAGCGAGGAAGTAACAAAGACAAGATCCTAATCCTGGCAGTCAGAGTCCACAGCCTATGCACTTTGTGAGTGCTGCCTCCCCCCAAAAGTCTGGGTTCACAGATGAGAAAAGGCAGATGGAGCTCCCATGCAGCACCTATTGTTTACCTAGTAGTCAGTCAACGGTGGCTGTTGTCGTTGACATCGATGCTGATGAAGTGTTGTTGCTGTTATTAATGTTGTCTATGCTGTTGGGGTTGCTGCTACTGCTGCTGTTGTTGATGATGATGTTGTTGTTGATGATGTTGTTTATGTTATAGTTGTTGTTCTTGCTCCCGTTGTTGCTGGCACAGTGATCATAGGAGCCAGCCGACTTGATTGGGGCCCTACATGTGGAGTCTGAGAAGATTCTAACATCACTCGATAATTTGAGGGAGCTCCTGCTACCCTCCTTGCCTCAGAAACTGAGGCAGGACTAACCACTTCCAGGTGGGGGAAGTCCATGAGGAGCTTGGGGGACACAGGAGCAGCCCACAACTTGTTTCAGTGTTACTATAAACAGGACCGTGTCCACAGGGCATGGCTGGAAACGACTCAATGAGGAAAGATACATTTCTACAAGAGCATCTGCCACATTCTGGCATTCACAGAAACAGCATTACTCAGCAAACTTGCCATTCGAATAAATTTTTGAATCAAAAATTTCACATGTCAAACTGTTGAAAAGTAAATGAGTTTGGTTTTTAAAAAAACCTCAATTCTATTTGCAGAATTGGTGATAATTGTGTCTATATTTTGCAATCGCCATTTTTAACTGCCGGAAGATTAAATTTAGACTTTACCCACATTCTCTATTAGAGAGAAGGGTGGAAGACCCTAAGTTGGGAACATATTTAGGCCAGTCCTGCTTCTAGAAGAGAGTTTCAGGGACTAGCCCACCCACATTAGTTATCCACCAAGCTCTGTCCATTTTTAATATTTATTTATTTGTTTGTTTGAGAATCACTACGCAGAACACATGGTAAGACTGGTCCTAGACATAGCTTGTACATATTTATTGTTCCATTATTTATCATCTACTTTATTTTGGTTTTCTGTCTCCTCATAATTTCTTTCTCCCCTTCCCATTTTTGTCTTATTACTGCAGATCAAGAAAAGGTAAAGAGAAGACGATTTATCTCCAAGTCAAGAAACTAGACATTCCACAAACCTAAGAAGAGAGACTGTGACACCTCTCATGGCCCTGCTCAGATGACACCAAGGCCAGAGTCAGATTTCTCTGCTCACCACAAAGCCCATACAATTCTCCTACCTTCCTTCTGAACCTATCGTCTTAGATCTATAACCAAGAGGAGTATGTTGTACTATTGTATAAAAATCTATCTACAGGACTTAACTCCTACCAGGCCCCTCTAGCGCACTGTATTCCCAGCATCCATAGAATAATGGCCATTGGTTTGCTGGAATTTTTTCCCCACCTTTGTATTTCTTTTTCTTTTTTTTACTCCTTTCCCTACAAGGACATCAAACAAAACACACAGGGAAACTGTGAGCCAGGGAAACAGAATAGAAAAGTTCTGAAAACAATAAAGTTGCGAGCCGGGAGAGTATTTTCTTGAGGAAATAAAGCACCCAAAGCAGTATCTAGCTGCTCAGAATTTATTTCAAGAACTTTGAATAGAACTTTCAGGATCAGATATGGAGAAATTTAAAAATATGTTAATTAATTTGGGGGTTACATTTAAAGGAACATAAAACAAAATAATCAGAAATACAACTTGAAAAATTACTCAGTCTTTCTGTATTTAGATTTGAGAAATACAAATGTGTGTGTTTTCAAAAGATCTTCACAAGAGCTCAGTGAAAAGCAAGTATTGGAGTTGCCGTTATTAAACTATGGGTAGATAATTTTTCAGTCTGATAAAAATTTCTCCAGATTTGTGGATTTTTAAAATTTATATTAATTTTTTAAAGTACTGGAATAAATAAATGTTGGAAAACTAACTACTACAAAGGAGCCCTGGTGGTGCAACTGTAAAGCGCTCGGCTGCCAACCAAGAAGTTGGTAGTTCAAACTCATCCAGCAGCTCTGTAGGAGAAAGACCTGGAGATCTCCTCCTGTAAAGATAACAGCCTAGAAAACCCTATGGGGCAGTTCTACTCTGTCACATGGGTCGCTATTAGTGGAAATCTACTTGACGGTACCTAACAATGATACCTACTACAAGGTGTATAATGAAAAATAAAAATTCTTTGCTCTATTCCACCTCTACCAACTCCTCAGAAATAATTTTCAACTATTTTAGCTGGAGTTTTACCTCCATAAATCTAAATAACTTGCCTTTCATTCACATTTCTCAATTTTTCAGTTTTAAATATTATCTATTGAATTTTTGGAGTCCCTGGGTGTTGTAAACGATTAATGCACTCAGCTGCTAACTGAAAGGTTGTTGGTTAGAGTCCATCCAGAGGTGTCTTAGAAGAAAGGCCTGGTGATCTACTTCTGAAAAATTGAAAGCCTTTGAAAACCCTGTGGAGCAGAGTTCTGCTCCAATACACATGAGGTTGCCATGAGTTGAAATCAGCCACAGCTGGCAGGGGTGGTGGTAGAATGAAATACCATTTTTTGGAAGGCAAACAGGCAAGTAGTCAGATCAAAACGGGCAATTTGGAAAGATGAATAACAGCTAACACTTGAGCCCCTTTGTGTGTGGCTGTGCTCGGCACTCTGTGAACATTGTCTGGTGGATCCCTCCCTAAAGGCGGACTGCTGCTCTCCTGGGGACCCAGAAGCCTCAGGGGTGTGCTCAGGGTGTGATAATCCTAGAGGGCCCTACCACTCTTGAGAAAAAGAAATGAGGTTGTCTATGCAGACTCCAAGGTGACTTGTGAGTGGAATATCCATATTGTTCAAAACAAGATCCAACCCCCAACTTATCAAAAAGGATATTATTTTAAGAGACGAGACTTACTGGTCTGACAAAGACTGGAGAAACCCCGAGAGTATGGCCCCCGGACACCCTTTTAACTTGGTAGTGAAGTCACTCCTGAAGTTCACCCTTCAGCCAAAGATTAGACAGGCTGTATACCAAATAATAACACGTGAGTTCAGCCGTGTATAGGAGACTAAATGGGCACACCAGCCCTAAAGCAAAGAAGAGAAGGCAGGAAGGAAAAGGAAAAGTGGATGAATGGAAATGGGAACCCGAGGTTGAGAGAGAGGAGAGTGTTGACACATCACAGGGTTGGCAATCAATGTCACAAATAATTTGTGTATTAATTGTTTAATGAGTAACTAATTTGCTCTGTAAACTTTCACCTAAACACAATAAAAAAATAAATAAGGATATTATTTTCACTTAAAACAAATATATATATGTATATATATTTATATGTCTTCAGTGAGCAGCAAAGATATTTCCTTTAAACATAAGTCTCATGATTGGAGTTCCATGTGCTCTTTCTTGCATAAACCACATTCATTGTGCATTGCTTATGATTTGCGATTTTGGTCTCTCTCAAGTAGAGCCGTTTCAAAGCACTTTGAAACAATCAGAACCCAAAATCCCAGATTTTTACAACACTTTTCATTTTACTTTTGACTCACTCACATTTTTAGTGATTCAGTTTTATTAAATCTTGAGAAAGCATTTAATTTTGTTGTATAGAAACAACACGTTTCTCCATTCATACCTCATCAGGTTATGTAATTAGTAATCAGGTTAGGTAATTACAATACCAAGTTCAATGAGAAGAAAACAGATTTGGGAACAAACCCAGCTGACCCTTGATCAGCCTGTCACCCAGCTGGTAGATAACAGCAGCGGGTAGAAGCAGCTGGAATGTGGCCTGCTGAGCAGGGGCTGGGGCATTGCAGCTGCATTTGCAGGAGGAAGGATAATCCTGACTCGGTTAAATAGGGGCTGGTTTAGAGTCGTTGTTGTTAGGCGCCATCAGGTCGGTTCTGACTCACAGCGACCCTGTGTACAACAGAACGAAACACTGCCCTGTCCTGTGCCAACCTCACAATCGTTGTTACGTTTGAGCCCACTGTGGCAGCAACTGTATCAATCCATCTCATTGAGGTTCTTCCTCTTTTTCGATGACCCTCTACTTTACCAAGCATGATGTCCTTCTCCAGGGACTGGTCCCTCCTGATAACATGTCCAAACTATGTGAGACGTAGTCTCGCCATTCTTGCTTCTAAGAAGCGTTCCGGTTGTACCTTTTCCAAGACAGCTTTGTTCGTTCTCTTGGCAGTCCATAGTATATTCAGTATTCTTTGCCAACACCGCTCAATTCAAGGGTGTCATTTCTTCTTCGGTCTTCCTTATTCATCGTCCAGCTTTCGCATATATATGAGGCGACTGAAAACACCATGTCTTGGGTCAGGCGCGCCTTAGTCTTCAAGGTGACATCTTTGCTTTTCAACACTTTAAAGACGTCTTTTGCAGCAGATTTGCCCAGTTTCAATGCATCTTTTGATTTCTTGTCTGCTGCTTCCATGGGTGTTGATTGTGGATCTGAATAGAATGAAATCCTTGATGACTTCTATCTTTTCTCCATTTATTATGATGTTGTTTATTGGTCTAGTTGTGAGGATTTTTGTTTTCTTTATGGTGAGGTGTAATCCATAATGAAGGCTGTGGTCTTCGATCTTCACTGGTTTAGAGAGCCTCCTAAAGCTGATGCTGACTTTGAAAACAAAACGTAGAATTTCCTTTATTCCTTTCAAACAAGCTTCATGAATAGGATGATGTGTCTAAAACACCATCCTGACTCAACCCCAGCAATAGCACTCCTTCCGATTCCTTGTTTGGCAGCTCTTAGCTCAAGATTCACAATTAACAAAAGCTCTAAAATTGTGAGCCTGACTAACCCCACTAAGTTCTGGAATAAAAGGTGACTTGCCCAAGATGTCATTTCTAAAACAGTTTTGACTCCACTTTCTGTCCTCAGACAAATGGGCCTTGGGCACATGTTCACATTTGGATGTTTCTGGCAACCATTTGAAGGCAGGAAAACGTGGAGTAAGAGGCTATATTTGGTCCGTGACAGCTCCAGCTGCTGTAATCTCCAGGTGTGTGTGATCTCACCATTCCCTCATTCTAAGCCTCCCCTGGCCAGCTCAGGATATAATAAATCTTGCACCATGAGTGCTTTTCCTCAAGATCCAAGCACACAAGGGAACCACTTCTTCCAGGAGAGGTCACGACAAAACTGAGGCATTAGTCTTGCAGGCTTCCTGGTCCCTGGGCTGCCCCTACCAGTTAATCTAGGGCCCTTTGCCCATGACGACAAGCAGTGCCCCCTCTGGCCCCTCATCAAAAGGCACAGGCTCTGTGTCCCAAGATCTGAGGACTCTGCTACGAGTGACGTGTGGTGGGAGAGGACACTAATCCCATAAACCAGTCTGGCTCTGTTATGGGAACGAGTCGTCAACCGGACCAGCTCCAGAGGGCCGTAAATCATTCAAAGTGCTGTGCGCCCAGAAGGCACCTAAAAAGCAATGCTGTGAATCAGATACAAGAGACCAAACAGGCAGCTCCTGTCCGGAGGCAGGATGAGAAGGCAGGAAGGGACAGGAACTGGTTGAATGGACACAGGGAACCCAGGGTGGAAAGGGGGAGTGTGCTGTCACATTGTGGGGATTGCAGCTGATGTCCCAAAACAATATGTGTATAAATTTTTGTATGAGAAATTAACATGAGCTGCAAACTTTAATCTAAAGCACACACACACACAAAAAGAAAATCAGCGATGCTCTGAGCCACAAGCACATGCCGGTGACTCCCAGCGGAGGGCTGTGGCCAGAACTCCCTTCCCAGCTGCAGCCGCCACCATTTCCACATCCTGAGGGTTTCTCAGAGACAGCATTCCTCATGGTCGTGGTGCTGCCAGGGACTGAAATGTTTGTTTTCTTGACATCTTGATAAGAAGACAACTTCTGAAAAGGCCCATATTCCTGTTCTGCTTGCACATTTCCTAAGCCCTCTCTCATCCCCAGGAGTACTTGTGGAATGTCACAGCTGTCTGCTCCTGGAACACATGCTCAGTGACTGAGGCTCGAGGACAGTAGAAGGAGTAAGACATAGCCCCTGACCCCCTGAAATCTTTCGCAACACAGCAAACTACAGTAAAACCCATGAAAGCTGTAAAATGCATAAGGCAGAAGCCTGTCAGAGAAGGAAAACACAAAGATTTTCCGCTAAAA